TGGAGGATGGAAGGACCTGCTGGAGCACTCACCGTCCGAAAGCTGCATCAGCCGATGCATACCTATCTACCTTGTAATGTCTGATAAAGGAATTAGGGGTAGCCCAGGTCGCTGCTTTACAGATCTTCTCCACCGAGGCCTGCCGCGCCCATGCTGCTCATGTGGCTACGTTGCGCGTGGAATGAGCCGTAATGTTGGGTGGAGGAGGGAGATGATGCGTGATGTAAGTTTGAGCAATGGCAGATCTGATCCAACGTCTGATAATGGAAGGAGAGGCTTTTAGGCCTTTGTTGGTCGGGTGAAACGAGACAAAGAGGGTTTCGCTGCGTCTGAAAGCAGCCATATTGGCGAAGTAAGTTTTAAGAGCATGCCTGATGTCTAGCTTGTGCCATTTGCGCTCCAGATTGTGAGATGGAGCTGGGCAGAAATTTGGAAGAGTGAGATCCAGAGAGCGATGAAATGCTGAATTCACCTTCGGAACAAAGGTGGGGTTGATGCGAAGGACCACACGGTCTGGGTGGAAGATACACAGGTTGGCCCGGACGGAAAGGGCTGCCAACTCTGACACCCTCCGTGCTGATGTTATGGCCACCAGAAAGGCAGTCTTGAGAGTGAGGTGGTGCAGAGTTGCCGCCCTGAGGGGTTCAAAGGGCGGTTCTGTAAGGAAGTCGAGGACCTAGGTCAGATCCCAGGAGAGGAATCAGTGCATGTCAGGAGGACAGATATTGGATGCCCCTTTAAGGAACCTGCGGGCGTAAGGATGGAAGGAGAGGGGCTCATCTCGGTGGAGAGAGAGAACTGGGGAGAGAGCTGCCACCTGCCGCCGCAAGGTATTCGGAGAAAGTCCCTTATCAAGACCCTGCTGCAAGAATTCAAGAAGCTGGGGTACTGCAGCTTTCAATGGGTCCTCCCCTCGCCCCAGGCACCACATTACAAAAGTCTGTAGATTCGTATATCCTATTGGTAGCTGGGCAGCGTGAGGCTTGAGTGGTATGGATCACAGTCTCGGAAAGGTTATCTGCCCTCAGGACTGCCCGCTCAGCCTCCAAGCAGTTAGGCATAGCCAGCGTAGATCTGGGTGGTAAATGGAGGCCCGATGAAGGAGGGACAGAATCATTGGCAGGGGCCATTGAGGTTCCACTGAAAGATTGATCAGGTCCGCATACCATGGTTGGCGCGGCCAATTGGGGGAGACCAGGATGAACTCGGCCTCTTCCTCCAGCATTTTCTGAATCACCCTCTGTATCAGGGGGAAGGGAGGGAAGGTGTACAGGAGACCGTGAGGCCACCTGCACCTGAGAGCGTCTGTCCCTTCCGCACCTGATGTCGTGTATCGAGACAGGTACCTGGGCAGCTGGTTGTTAGCAGATGTTGTGAAGAGGTCCAAGGCTGGAGTCCCGTACCTGGCCCATACCTGTCCGACAGCTGATGAAATATGCGGCGATTCAAGCTCCACTCTGCTGGGTCGATCGTTGTGCGGCTCAGCCAGTCTGCTGCGGTGTTGTCCGACCCCGAGATGTGTTCGGCGTGTAGGAAGAGAAGGTTGGCTTCCGCCCAGGTTCCTAGTTGAAAGGCAGATTCCATGAGAGAGACAGCTCTCATTCCCCCCTGGCGTTTGACATGCGCCTTGACCGTGGTGTTGTCCGTCTGGATCAACACATGTGAGTTTTGGAGAAAGGGCTGGAAGTGAAGGAGAGCTAGATGGATGCCCCTCAAATCTAGCCAATTCATACTGTATAGGTCTGAATTGGACCAAAGGCCCTGCACTACTTGTTCCTCCAAGTGAGCTCCCCAGCCCATGACACAAGTCTATTGTTACCACAAAACGTGGAGGATCCCTGAAAAGAGTGCCCTGAGCTATGGCCGGGGAGATCCACCATTCCAGGGATGACAGGACTTCTGGGGTCAGGAGGACCTTCACTAAGGAACAGCTGCTTTGGGTCTTCTGGAATGGCAGAAGAAACCACTGGAGGCAGCAACTGTGAAGCTGTGCTCAAGGGATGATGGAGAAGCAGGAGACCATCTTCCCCAGCAGTTGAGACAGCTGAAGAAGAGGGACCCATTGCCTCCTTCGTACCTCTCTGGCTAACTCCCTGAGACTGCTCTGGTGGTCCTGGGACAGGAAGACTTTCCCCTGGGATGAATCTATGAGGGCTCCCAGGTGCACCAGGCTGCAGAGGCATTTCCCAGCTGCTGGTGACTTCTTTGGCCTTAATTGGGCTCCCCGCTGCTTTCGGGGGCTCCTGCAGGCAGCGGTGGCAATTAGCAGCAAAGGCGGCAAGGCAGCGGCCAGGGAGTCCCCTGCTGAGAAAAATTAGGGCTTCCTTTGGCTATTTCAGCAAGCTCTGCTGAAATCCGAGACGGCAGAAAGCCCGGAGACTTTTAGAAGCCAGCCTCCACGAGGCGCGGCAAAAACTCTCTAGCCTAGAAGCTTTTGAGAGTCTAACAGGAGCCCAGACTGGAGCCTCAGTTTAAAGGACAATTTGCATGCGGATTTTAGAGAGAAAACCAATTAAACCTAATTAAATTATTCAATTCTAACTAATTATTCCAGAAGAGAGCGATTAACACAGCCAGTTCAATTGAACTGAGTCTGAAAAAACAGGAGCATGTTCCTCAGAGCCGATGACATCACTTTGGTAGACTCAGTTCTATTGGTTACTAAGTTAACCCATGCATGACCGTTATCTCCACCAATTTAGGAGAATAGGAGATGTAAACTATCCAAGTAAGAATCTTTTGTTGATTTTCTCATACAATGTTTTGTTATCATATAGAGACATCGAAGCTGTGAAGAGCCTATGCTCTGCAGTTGACCCCTTTATTACATATTTAATAGTTTTTATTATGAAAAGTTTATCTGTCAAATAAGTAGAGGAACCAACTCGGCCTGAAAAGTCCCTACTAGTTGAAAAATGAATATCTAAAAGCTAAAGAAAGCAAGAACATATTTTATGTAAAATTTAGTTTACTAGAGTATTAGAAACCCTACGGCTCACCCTGAAAGATCCTTTTTTTGTAATTTATGAAAACAAAATATTCATTGTCTTTCAAAGTTTTGCATGCATGGCTTTTGAAAATACAGGATCTTTTATGAGTGTGCGTACACATATGCTTGTGTGCACATGTGAAGAATCAAAATTAGGAAATTACTGCTTTATTGCTTAAAATTCAATGTAATCTTGTTCACCCTGGCAGACTTGTCAAAGTGCCTATTGTGATTTAATTTTAATTAAAAAAAACACTGCCAGTGAAACAGTAATTTATTTTCTACTAGCTAAATACAGCTCTAAGGCATGTGTCACTTTTGATACATGAGTGGCTCTACTTTAAGAGAACGCACAATTTTATGGCCATATAAATTAAACTGCAGTTGTCAGTAGTCTACTTTATTTATGATTTAATATTCACTTCATTGAATAGTGAGATATAAAATACAGGAATTTTTAGAATGCAGCTTTAACTTACTTACTTTTTAATTCCAGACAGATAACTTTGTCTTGCCCTGCCATGAATATTAGAACACCATCTCATAATACTGTCATTATTAGATTGGCTTAAATTATTGTCAGTGAGGACAATGTCATTACCAAATTTAGTGATCTTCATGCTACTTCTATAAATACAATGGCAAGCACACTACTTAATGCAAACCCACATCTTGATGACAGAATTGCCTGAGCAGTATTGTCGAATCTGAAATTTCATGAGCTTCCTTTGAATGAGGTGCTACGAGCGTCTGTCAAATAATGAACACAGATGATGATTTGGCACTTATTATACCCATACTTGATGTTGCCTTAATGACCATTTTTGACAAAAATCATACTGCTGATATGGATCTTAGATGTCTTCTACTCTTAGCTCTTGTTTGCTATAATATCTACTAAAAGAATTCATATAGATGATTATTGAGTTTCTATTTGAAGAACTCCAAGTAAAATGAAATATTGTACCTTCCTTTGAGAGGCAGCTTATTCCGCTTGATGCCTTTTACTATAAAGAAATAGCTCCTCATTTCTAACTTGAGTCTAGTTTTCTATAGTTAAATTCTGATGCTGGTGTTCTGGATAACAGTTCTCCTCTATTTGACAACTCTTTCCATATTCAAAGATTGCTATAACACAGTGATGTTTAACCTTTTCCCCATCGTGTGCCAAAAGCGGGGGAGCGCAGGGGGGTCATGCATGGGTATGCCCACACCCATAATTCTCTGTGTGTGACCCCCCCGGCATGCATGCATGCGCGACCCTGCCCTTCCCTCGCTTTTGGCACGTGATGGACCTGTTTTTCGCCCTCCCAAGGTTCTAGAGGCTTCCCTGAAGGCTCCAGAGGGTGAAAAATGGCCATATGGACAACCTGGAAGTTCGGGAATGGACTTCTGGGTTGCCCATAGTGCCATTTTTTGCCCCCCGGGGCTTCAGAAAGTTTCCCTGAAGCCTCTGGAGGGCCTCCAGGGCGGGGAGGCCATTTTTGCCCTCTTCAACCTCCTAGAAAGCCTCCGGAGGGAGAAAAATGTTCCCGAACTTCCAGTTTGCGTGTTGGGTTATTTTTTGCCCTATTTTAGGGAAGCAACCAGAGGGCAAAGAACAGCCAAAAAATAAAGGCCGAAGTCAGCTGGCCAGCATGCACATTCACACTGGAGCCAATAGGGCAACGCCTTGCGTGCCCTAACAAATGGCTTTGCAGACCACCTGTGGCATGTATGCCATAGGTTCGCCATCACGGCTATAATATTTCCCTTCAATTTTCTTTTCTGCACGCTTATATATTTAGTTTCTTTCACCGTTCTTCACAGGGCATCATTCTCCTTAGTATCTTGGCCCTCTCCCTGAACCTTTCCTCATTTGTTTGGCCTGAGCAGGATGCAGTAGAGTGTAACAATTATTTTTTATGGCCTGATTATTCTTTAAATTGTCATCTGTTCTCTTCACAAGAATGTACATAGAGGTGTCATGAGTGGAGGAATGGATAAAAGCACCCCTAATCTTAAATTTTACCTGCAAATTATAATCCTGAAGAATCTTTACTAATGAATCTCTCAGGTTTGGAATCTTCATACTTTCCTTAATACGATGAATCAGGAGAATAGGATCAACATGAGTCCCTATATTGTTTAACAAGCCTGTAATAAAAGCTGTAAAAACATACAGAACATTTAAGTCAGAATCAGAATGTCAAAGTCTCTTAAGTGGTGTAGATTACTCTTAAAAACAGAGTGGAAAATAAATAGAAAACTAAAGATATCTCTGTGAAAGATCTAGTTATCTATAGGACTTTTATTTAAATTAAAATATATGCTTTAATTAAAAAGCTATGTTGTTTCCCACTCTGGATTTTTTTGTAGATCTGATTCTTTGAATAATTTGAGTGGACAGTCTGAAATACTATTTAAAAATTCCTATTAGTCTTAGTTTTCCTGATACATTCTATTATTCTTTAACTCAAGCCTCTAACTTTATTATTTCTGAAGGCTGTGTCTTTGTCTATGACTTTTGTGCCATACTTCTAGTCTCAGTTTCTCAGAATTATATTTTTTAATTTTACACTATTTTCCCATATCAGCTTTTGCACTTCTTTCTCTTCTTCCAATATATATTAAAAGTTTTTCCCCTCAATCACAACATCCTACCAATTCCTCACAATGTATTTACATGCAGAGGGAAATTAATTTTCTTTGTGGAATGATTTGTAAATGCTATTGTTGACTTTACATTTTGGCAGGAAAAACACTAATAAATGTTTCATGAAATCACAGCAGTTCCAGCAATAAAAGATAATACATTTGCAGATGTACAAGGAGAAGGCAATTTCTTTTCTTAAGACAATCATCATACTTAAAGGAATTTTTATTAGAAAAAAAATTAATACAATTTAATATTTTTCTATTAAGGAAGACAAATTGCCTTTATAAAGATGCTGAGGAAAACCCAAAAGTTCCTAGCAGTTCCTCTAATTTGTTAAACAGCAAATGTCACAGAACTAAGGAATAATGTAACTCAATTCTTTGTATTATTCAAGTTGGCATTATTTTCAAATCAATTTGGCTATACTGCCCTCCTTACCATTAATTTAATTCATTCTCTCTATCATTGATACAGACATAACTAGTTTATAATAAATTAGGCAAAGACTACATTGCTTACGAGGTTTGTCTATTGAATACAAAATAAGGTCTTCCCAAAGTTCAGCATCATCTTGCTCCTTGGCAAACTCTATAGCTTTATCTACATCGTTTAGGTCTTCCATGATCATTTTCAGGGCACTTCGACTATTGCCCATTCGACCTGGAAAAAGAAAAAGAAAAAAACCCCCAACAACAACACCCTTAAAAACAATGACAAAGCACCATTAAATTCTATGAGCAGAACCCACTCCCCTTCTGGTTTTATTGTCTTCAAAAGTACCTTCCCTAACCTGATGGTATCCAGTTCATAATCCCTAACAAAAGTAAAAATAAATAAATAATAAAGATAAATAGAGCACAATCATTGGACCATCTTTCCAGATTGGGTGAAGCGCTTTTAAAATCCATAGGTATTTTTTCCCTTTTAGAAAAGAACATCTATTTAAATAAAAGCAATATATTCCATTTTCAAATAAATCAATAGTTGCAGAGTACATTCAAATGCCTTCTTGTCAATTTCAGTTACATACTGAATTATATGCTGCAATACAGGTTAAAAAAGCAGCATAGAGTATAGGCACTAGACTGCAGCCGGGATAAAAACTCACTGCCTTCAGGTTGCTGCAAAATAGCAACAATGCAGCTTCTACCATTTTCAGTTGGAGAACTAATTTAAGAACTAAAATTCTTAATTCTAACATTAGTTAACATGAATTAATAAATTTTTAACAAGCTGCTCTGCAGATAAAAAAATCTCAGAATTTTAGAAAGAGATGCACTAGGAATATTAGCCTCTTGTTAAACGCTTTTACCTTCCCACCAAAAGTGGTTCTTATTTTTCTATTTGCATTTTTACATGCGTTTGAACTTCTAGGGTGGTAGAAGCTAGGGACAAGTAACAGGAGCTCACTCAATGGACTAGGGATTTGAACAGCTGAACTGCTGACCTTTCTGATCGACAAGCTCAGCATCTTAGCCACTGCATCCCTCTTAGCTAGTGACTGCACATGTTTATTTTGACAGCTTTAAAAATTCTTTCCTCCTCAATTCTGATGTTCCTATCTTGGGGATAATTTTATACAGTGCTGATAAAAGTCCATGCATTCCTGTTAAAATGCCAGATTTTTGAGATGTAAAAAAATATAGACTACGTTTAATATAACATATAACATGTACTATTCAATTGAAAAATAAAATGAAATATTTTAGAGTGGAAGAGTACAATAAGATGGTTGTATAAGTTTGTACACCCTTATAAGAAGGAATGTGGCTATGTTCAGAATTAACCAGTCACATTCAAACTGATGTTAAACACTAGTCAGTACACACCTGCGTTTAATTAAAATGTGTCTGATCAATCCACTTTAAGTTCAGCTGGACTTCTCTGACTTTTACCCAGTTGTCTTACAGCAAAAGCCATGATCTGCAAAAGCTTACAAAGTAGTAAAGGGATCTTATTGTTGGAAATTATCGGTCAAGAAAAGGATACCAAAAAGTTTCCTATACACCATGGAGTACAATGAAGACAGTCATCCACAAGCGGAGAAAATATGGCACTACAGTAACATTACTAAGAATTGGATGTCCCTCCAAAATTGATGAAAAAACAAGAAGAAAACTGCCAAGAGGCCTACAGCAAGATTAAAGGAGCTGCAGTAATTTCTGGCAAGTACTGATTGTGTACTGCATAAGAGAACAATCTCCCATATTCCTCATATGTCTGGCCTATGTGGAGGGTGGCAAAACAAAAGCATTTTCTTACAAAGAAAAACATTGAAGCTTGGACACATTTTGCAAAATCCTACATCAAGTTTGACAAAAGCATGTGGAAAAATGTGTTATAGTCCGATGAGACTAAGACTGAACTTTTTGGCCATAATTCCAAAAAAGCACAAAAACAATACTGAGCATACTGAGCATCGCACAAAAACAATACTGAGCATCACCCAAGGTACCCCATACCCATAATGAAGTAGGGTGGTGGCAACATTATGCTTTGGCTCTGCTTTTCTTCATCTGGAACTGGAGCTTTAGTCAAGGTGGAGGGAATGATGAGCAGTTCCAAATACCAGTTAATTTTGGCATAAAGCCTTCAGGCATCTGAAGATGAATTTCACCTTTCAACACAACAAAGACCCAGAGCATACTTCCAAATCAACCAAAAAATGGTTTCACCAGAAGAAGATCAAAATGACCTAGCGAAAGCCCTGACCTGAATCAACTGAAAATCTGTGGGGTGACATGAAAAGGGCTGAGTACAGGATATGCCCTCATAATCTAATAGATTTGGAGCGCAACTGAAGGGAAGAGTGGGCAGATTTCCAAGGTGAGATATGCCATGCTGATAGATCCTATCAAAAAAAAGGGATTAAGTCATTTATTTATTTATTTATACTATTTGTCCATCTTTCCTCGGGGTAACTCTGGGTGTGTAATAAAATCAATAGGTGCTTCAACAAAGTATTAATTTAAGGGTGTGCACCAGAGGTGGGTTCCTCCCGGTATAGTAAGCCAGAAGAGGTAGTAAAAATCTGATGTACTGGACTATTAGTAATGGCAGTCTGGACATGCCCCCATACCAGTTCCCTAGTCACTGCTCGCTTGCCCCACCCCGCCCAGTCTCTGCGCTGCACGCCTGATCTGTCTGCCAGGTAAGCCTCTGAGTCTTGGCTTAGCTAGCTTCAGCTGTGCCCGAGCTGGAGGAGACGGTGTTTGTGAGCTTCGGGGTTCCCAGACGGCCTATGTGCGCAGGGCACCCGCGCTGTAGGAGATGGTGTTTGCGAGCCTTGGGGCTCTCGGATGGCCCATGTGCTCAGGGCGTGGGCTGGCTCCAGCTGCACCTGAGCTAGAGGTGATTGTGTTGGGACTCCAGGGTGGCCTATGTATGCAGGGTGCCTGAGCTGGAAGAGATGGTGTTTGCAAGCCTCGGGGCTCCTGGGTGGCCCATGTGCACAGGGCACCCAAACTGGAGAAGACGGTGTTATGAGCGTCGGGGCTCCCGGGTGGCTCATGTGCACAAGGCACTGGGCTGGCTCCGGCTGCACCTGAGCTGGAGGTGGTTGCCTCAAAGAGAACGAAGCGGATGTGGGTGCTTCTTCCAACAGCCAAGGCCTCAGCTCCTCTCTTCCTCAGCTGTTGGAAGAAGCGCTGCGCCTGCTTCATTCTCTTTGAGAGCCGCCTTGCTTGCTGCAGCGCGAGGCGAGCGTGTCCAGGGAGAAATCAGGGGAAGGGGGAGGAGAAAGTTGAGCTTCTGCTAGGGACAGCCTTCTCCTCCCTCTCCCCAATTTCTTCTTCTCTCCTCATGCTGTGGAAAGTGCTGTGTGTGTGTGTTTGTGTAAAGGGGGCTGGATGGGATAGATGGATGAGCGGATCGGAAGGGAGCCCCATGCCAGCTCTCGAAGGAAGGAGGCAGAGATGCCGGCATGGGGCTTGCCTTGCTTCCCTTCCCGCCCCCTCCTTGCCAGCTGCAGCCTGGGCTCTGTCTGCCCTACTTAGCTGGGCGGCTGGGCAGGAAAGCAGCAAGGGGGTGAGCAGTAAGGGAAGCAAGGCAAACCCCTTTCCAACATCACTGTCTCCTTCCTCTGAGAACTGACTTGGGGCTCCCTTCCGCTCTGCTCACCCATCTGCGGCCACCCACGCTCCGGCCTATCTGATGTCCCTGCGTTTTCCCAGCATTTCTGCCTCTTTTCGAGAGCTGCAGAAACAGGGAAAGTGAGGCTTCTTTGCTAGCCTCCCAGCTGGCAAAACAGAAAATTTTGCAGTTCTGTGGGGGTGGATAGGTGGGGGCGCATGTGAATGTGTGTGCATGAGTGATGCCAAGGTAGCCACACCTACCCAGTCACATGCCCTTCCCACCTAGCCACATTCACAGAACCACTAGTAAAAAAAATTGAAACCCACCCTTGGTGTGCACACTTATGCAATCACATTATTGTAAGATTTTTATATTTCTTTAAAATATTTGTTTGCTCTTCAATTGTACATATTAAATGTTATATTTAAGGTTGAAAAAAATCTGAAATTATATATCTTCATCTTTTTTTTTTACATTTCAAAAACCTGGCATCTTAATCGTGGTATATAGTATCTTAATCATATATCAGACTGTGTACATATACTGGCTTGATAATTTGTCAGTAAAAACAAACAAAATTAAGCAAAATACAGCTACTTACTCAAAAGATAAACAGTCTCTTCCACAAATAATCTTTGCTGACAAATTTCAAGAGCCTGTAATTTAAAAAACAAAGTGTTAATATGAAACAGTTTAATATCATGGATAAATAATGACATTAGCTGCATATCTCTAAGGCCCACTACAGTCAGTAAAATATAACAATGTTGCTGAAAGTTAATGAACATCAACATTTTTTCTAGTTTGGTGAATGCTAAAAGGGGACACCTTTTATTCACTGCCTTGTACAATCATTTCTAAGTATAATGAATAAGCGTACATAGGTGACCTTAATTTAAAACTTCTGAATAATCCCAGAAAGACCAGCCCAGTGGTTTTGTAGTGCTGGGGTCTATATATAGGATTGGGAAGCAAAATTCCCCATTTTTTAAAAAGATTTTAATAAACAGAAATGCATGATAAACATAGGCAAGAAGCCTGGAAAATATTAGAAAAACAAATGCAGGATATTTTTCTGTTATAATGAATTAAACATAGTTTAAGGCTTCTCTATTTTCTGCTCCCTTGACACCAAATATAATATAATAGGAGAGAGCGGGGGGAAAGGAAATATTCTACATGGATTTATTTCTCTTTTTTAAAAAAATAGAAATTCTAATTCCTTGGGGGAAGGCAGGGAGGAATGGAGGCTGCCTTTCATTTTATGAACAACCATTCTATAATAACTAGTATGTTAGACAAACTGAATCAGGGAGTGAGGTCCCTGCTCCAATAGGGATATGAATCTGGATCCCAGAATGTAAGAATTTAAAATTTTCCAGATCAGTAAACCTTGTCCTAGAGAAGCTTGCTGGCTGCCAATCAAATTACTGTTTTGCAATGCAAAAAAGCAAAATGCTTGATTTTAATTTATAATTTTTTTTTAGCTTAGTGCAAGATTAATTTTCTGTTTTACGCTGCTCTACTATTTTATAACATACATTACTTTTAATAAAGCATTGAGTTTTTTATGATTAAACAGCACAATATTAAATAAATGCATAACAATTAAAATAAAGAACAGTGACCTTCTGCATAAGAGTGAAATATTACATTTAGTTCTTGTATTTTCCAGCTGAGGGTGATATTATTTAAAGAGTTGCCCCAAGTTTTAAAACTGATTGAAAACAAATACCAAGCTGATTCTGATTAATATAAGAATCACTCAAAAAAGTCTTCTACATTCCACCAATCACTACTATTCTAGGTGAAAACAGGCATATTTGGAAATATCTTCCTTACCATTTCCAATGGACAATGGGTGCTATTTTTCAAAAAAGGGAGTAAATTCGGCCGGTCGTATTCAGCATACAGACTGATTTGTTTCTCATGATACTTTTGTCCTTTATGATGATCTCTCTTGAACAGCTTATGCAAATACTATAAACCAACCAAACGTATAAAACCATAAGAATAAAGTAGCCATCATCCCAAATAGGGATTTCAGAATAATAACTAATTCACTTTTCCAATTTACTTAAATATAAATCCCAAAGAAAACCAACCCCTCAAAAATACCATCAGGCTAATCAAAACATTTCACCTTCCTTAGCATTATAATTGATGGCAAAATTTGATTAAGAACAAAGTATAGAGTTTTACTTATATATCTTCTTTATATCATAAATATATATAGTCCTCAACTTACAACAGTTAATTTAATAACCATTCAAAGTTGCAACATCACTGAAAAGAATGACCTATGACCATTTTTCACACTTATGACTGTTACAGCATTGCCACAATCATGTGATTTACATTTGGATGCTTGACGACTGGTTCCTATTTATGACAATTGCAGTTCCTTGGGGTCATGTGATCCCTTTTGCGACCTTCTGATAAGTATAGTCAATGGGAAACCAAATTCACTTAACAATGTGTTACTAATGTAACAACCACAGTGATTCACTTAACTAATGTGGCAAGAAAAGCCGTAAAGGAGGGCAAAACTCACTTAACAAATTTTTCACTTAGCAATATAAATTCTGGGCTCAATTGTGGTCATAAGTCAAGGACTATCTGTAAAGGGATAAGGAAAGTTCAAGGAAAAATCAGTGATGGGAAGTACAATATAGATTGAAATCATTTTACTCTGTGATAGCCAAAAATTAGGAGGAGTCTGGAAGCATCTTTTCACCATAACAAATGTGTTAAAGACATGCTTTCATGAATGTTCATGTGAACTTCATCAGATACATGGAATGCCGAAACTGATATAAAATTTAAATTGGATGAGATGGGAGGAAGAAAAAGGAAGGCAGATTCATGTTATATGTGAGATACATTGGGATTACAATTTATAAATTAATAATTGTAATGTTAAAACCCTATTATATAGTTTTCAATATATAGTTTGTGATGCACCTGAGTTAACCAATTTCTGACTTAATTTTGCTTGTAATTTTCCCCTCCCTTCTCTAGTTATTTTGAGATCTGTAATGGACTTTCTGAGAAGTTGCAATGCTCTGTTATTAGTTTGTTCTTGTTTTGAGTCCTGATGTAAAAACTGGGACTATTAATTATTTTGCACAAAGTTGGCCTCTCTGGCTTATGTAGAATTTACATACGTAGAATAATGTGTTCTATGTAGAGATTTAATTTAGCTTTCCACAGCCTGCTAATTTTTCTTCACAAATATCTCAATTTCAAGAAAGTGGTATATGCAAGTGTGATGGCTAAAAATAACAGTTCCAGATGAATGTCTACGAATGTAAGTACACCTTAATACACTGTGACCCAGAGATCCATTTCTGGAACTGCTACTTGAGGGCATTTTCTCATCAAATATAAGGCCAAGATCAATCATTTGCTGAAATTATATATTATGTGATCCTCAAATTCTTGTATTAAAATTTACTTTATCCAAACAGATTTTGCAATATCCTTGAAAGGTTCAGGGTTAATAATAGTATTTTAATATTAGTATGGTAATGTAATAGTAATATAATAATAGTATAGTATGGCATGCTATAAGTATTAATATATCATCATTCAATACAGTACAGTACAGCACATGTATGTTTCATAATATTTAATGTTATAAAATATAATATAAATAATATGCCTTATTCATGAAAGTCAACTAGGTAACATTGGGCCAGTCACTCACTCTCAGCCCAACACAGCTCACATGGCTAATGGGGAAAAATGGGGGAAGGAAGGTGTGTTGGAACATTAAGTCTTCTCCATCCAAATGATTTATGATGTGATGAACTAAGCTTCTATATCAGCCAGAATAACTATCTGAACAACTAACCATCTGGAGGATTAGGGAAGGATGGTCTGTGCTATAACTGGCTAATGTATTATGGAATTTAATAAGCAGAAAAACTAGCAGCAACCTAGGCTGAGCCACAATATGTTAAGCAGGGTCAAATCTGGTTAAGACTTTGAGATCAACATAAAATCCCAGATTCATTAGGGGAAATTTTAAAAATCCAGAAGGTTGTGGTTTGAGGTTGAGGTTTATTGGATTTATATGCCACCCTTCTCCCAAGGACTCAGGGCGGCGTACAACATAAAAAAACAACATATTACAAAAATTAAAAGGGACATTAAATAAAGTATCTTAAAAAACCCAATTGATATTTACAATAAAATTTTAAAAATTAAATTAAAATTAACAACCAAATTAATTCTATATTTTATTCTATTCAGGCCAGGCCGGCTTGCTGAAAAAGTCAACTTTTTAAGGCGCGTCGGAAGGACCTGAGGTCGGGGAGGAGTCAGTTACAAATGGTCTTTTACATTGTTGACAAGAAAACAGCACGGACATTTTCAAGAACTAAACTTAACTTGAGGGTTTCCCACTTAGACACTATAATGTGATAAAATTAGCATTACTTATGTCAGACAAACCCCAGTGACTTCTCTTGGTTAACAATGTGTTTTTCTTTAATAAGTGTGGTTGAATGTCCATCTTTAAAGTATTCTATACCACTATAGTACCTCTGTTGCTAAAATTGACCTATACAATTGTGCCACTGTATAGAAGTATTATGCTCTTATGTGTTAAGACAAAGAACAAATGAATATACTTACCACATGCTGCAATTCAGGCCTATCTTTTAATTCTTCCACAACTTTATCAATCTAAACCAAAGAGCATTAAGATTTAAGACTTGATTACTTTTTTGGCAAATTACTTACATATTATTTATAAAAGGTGATGGGGCAATCATCACCAATCATCACCAATAACATAATTAGATGCTTATTAAACTCACAGAGATTTTGTCTTCATTATCCAAAAACATGTCAACGGCTTTCTAAAGGAAAAAAAAGAAGTCCATGATAGTGAACAGATAGACAAGAGTCAAAATGTTAACTATTTACAAACATCTACAGATTCTGACGAGCTGTGATGAAGAAAATTATAGCTGTGCCATGGTGGTAGTTGCACATCCAGGAAGAATAAATGGTACAAATATTGGAGCATAATTAGATGGTAAAGATGGGATTCTATTACTGCTTAGGAGAGCCAGTTTGATGTAATAAACTGACAGTAAGCTAGAAAGCAGGATATTATGAGTTATAGTCCTGCTTTAGACACAAAGTCAGATGCAAAAACCTACGTTACACCTATCCTCCGCGAGCTGCACTGGTTACCCATTAGTCTCCGGATCCGCTTCAAGGCGCTGGTTGTTACCTATAAAGCCCTTCATGGCATCGGACATGGGTACCTGAGAGACTGCCTCCTGCCGATCACCTCCCATAGAGCGATTCGATCACACAGGTTAGGTCTCCTCTGGATTCCATCTGCCAGCCAATGTCGGCTGGCGACTCCCCGGGGATAGTCTTCTCTGTTGCAGCGCCAGCCCTCTGGAACGATCTCCCCGTGG